ACAGTCAGAGGTGAGGAACTTCCCCTCCAGACTAGTCTGCAGTTCTCAGTTTTTCTCTAGGTGCCCCAAAATGACCGGAATTACTACATTCATTAAAAACAAAACAAAAAACTGCTTTGCTCTTGAGGGTCGTTTTAACTTTTATTTTTGTTTTGTCGATTTAATATAACATTTGCTTTACAAAGTGTGGATTATCATCTCCCTAAAACCTGTTACTGGCATGTTCTCAAAGGTGATCAATGTTACTGGTGGTTGAATAATAACTCTGTGAGTTTTTTCATCTACTTAAAAATTATTCTCTTAATAAATAAAAGTGGAATACAATTAACATAATGGCAGGGCACTGAAGACTCCAAATCTGTTTTGAATTATCTGGAAAGGATAATGTGCTTCCTCAGTAACTTGATTTGTAACCACTTCAATGACTTCCCTCATACTATGAGGAAATCCCAGGTGTTGATAGTTAGTTGACAGTGTGTTAATGTCATTAACATTCTGTCAGCTCTTCTTGTCAATGTGTTAATGGTGCCCCTGCTGCTCAGTCACTCTCTGTCCTCAGGTTGGGGAAATGATTTAGCCAGCAGTCAATCAAAAAGCTAAGCTGATTCTGGGCAACAGAGAGCCCTGCCATTGACAAAATCTCTGCAAGTGTATGTGGTAAGGAATTTGTCAACCGGATATAAGCTGTAAGGCCAGCATTGTGGTTGATGTGCTTTTTTAGATAGTTTAAGAAGTTAAGAATGGACCGCAACACATATTTAAAAGTCTAAGAAGCCCTCTTTTAATAATGGGTTTCTTTCCTGTGAGAAAAAGCAAGGATTTGTAAGTAAAAATGATGCTTTGACTTAAAAAAAAATAAGGCATTGGGGTTCAGAACACAATACCTGGAAGTATGCTACCTTGACATGTTGAATACTTTGAGCTGAAGAACACTGGGAGGGCCACAGGAGCAAGAAGGTGTCTCTGAACTTATGCCTCCCTCCTCCTCCTACCTTCCTTTGTCTCCTGAAGCAAGTCATAGAAACTAGAATTCCTCTCACATGAAACAAGCCATAAAACCTAGTTAGATCACTTTCTTAGCTCTCCCCTTCTCCTTCACAGGAGCCAGACATAGTGGCTCATGCCTGTAATCCCCGCACTGCGGGAGGCCAAGGTGTGTGGGTCACTTGAGGTCAGGAGTTTGTGACCAGCCTGGCCAACATAGTGAAACCCTCTCTCTACTAAAAATACAAAATTAGCTGGGTGTGGTGGTGCGTTCCCGTAATCCCAGCTACTCGGGAGGCTGACTCAGGAGAATCACTTGAACCCGGGAGGTGGAGGTTGCAGTGAGCTGAGATCGCACCACAGCACTCTAGCCTGAGTGGAAGTGAGACTCCGTCTCCCTCTCCCCCCAAAAAAGACCTTCATATGGCAGGTGTCTTTTCCCCATACCTGGGGGAAGAATGTCATACAGAGATACAGAAAATAATCTGAACCAGCCTTGATGAGCCCCCCCCCCCCAGTTTATTACCGTTAAATCATATCCTTTTGTCCACCAGTCATACTTCTGCACAACTGCCCATAAGAATACACGATTTTCCCTTGTTTCTTTGGGTCTTCATTTATGGAGGTTGCTGTGTCACATAAAATTCATATTAAATAAATTTGTATGCTTTTTCTCTTGTTAATATTATATTATAGGATGTCAGTCATGAGCCTTGGAATGGGTCAAGAAAGAAAGATTTTCTCTCCTATACCATCTAAGTTTTTCTTTCTTTACTTATTTTTTTGAGACAGAGTCTTACTCTGTCGCCAGGCGCCAGGCTGGAGTGTAGTAGTGCAATCTCGGCTCACTGCAACCTCCGCCTCCCCGGTTCAAGCAATTCTCCTGCCTCAGCCTCCCGAGTAGCTGGGACTACAGGTGCATGCCACCCCGCCCAGCTAATTTTTGTATTTTTAGTAGAGATGGGGTTTCACCATGTTGGCCAGGATGGTCTCGATCTCTTGACCTCGTGATCCACCCGCCTCGGCCTCCCAAAGTGCTGGGATTACTGGCGTGAGCCACTGCGCCTGGCCCCATCTAACTTTTTCTGAGTCAGAACAAGCAATCAATTTTGGGTAGAGAAAGGAAGAGGTGATGAGTTTCTTCTAAAGCCATTGTCCCCTTGGAAACTCCATTCAAAAGAGAGGTTTTCTTTTTTCTTTTTTGGTCTATTTTTTCTGACATTTACTTTAAAAGTTGTGGGTCCTCTCTCCGAAAACTGATTATCCTTTACAGCATGCTCCATAAAGGTGATTCAATGTTACTCACATCTGTGAGATTTATATGAAGAAAATTTTTACAACTGTAAGCACAGCCTACCACTGTTTGACAATATTGTTTTGAAGTACTAAGTAAAATAGGGACTTGGACTAGATAATCTTCATGTCTCTAGCTATAATATTGTGTGATTCAACATACATTTACTGACTGCCTACACTGGGCTAGGTTGTAAGCATTGTGGCGGGCATAATTAACAAACCATACATAATCTCTGCCATGGGGACAGCAAGACAGAGAACACGTAAATGCCAGACTGTCAGCAGCCTGAGGTCAAGTTTTCTATCATCTTGTGTACTTTTCAATTTTCATGCCTGGCAACGTCTAGTATATTGTAAGTGTTCAATCAAAATTGGGAAAGAGTGAGGGTAAATGTAGGGTGCTCCAGGACTTAGCCTGACTTGGAGATTTGAAGATTCAACCCGCATATTCAGTTGCTCTGAGGCCGTCATGCCATTGCTGCTAACTACAGCACTGTTGCTGTTCTGAAGTCCAGAGGCATATGAGTGCTTTTCAGCTTGTGAACTCAGTCCTCAAAGAGAGATTACTGTTTAAGTGGCTAAAGTTACTTTCCATGGAAACTACTCCCATACTTGTGCCCCTAGTTATTCAATTTAAAGGGCCAGTGACTTGAAGCAAAATAATTTATTGGCACTGGATGGAAACATTGGAAAGATCATCTAGTACAAAGGGTCCTATATTAGAAATGGAATCATGGTTCTATTAACAGGATCAAGTATCCCACAATAAAATATCCATCTCTTTTAGAATTGCCAGAAGGGTAAAAAATATATATATTAGGCATCAGAACTCATATATATATACATATACTGATTATGCATTTTGTTTGTCTCTTTCTAGAAGACAGGAACTCTCAATGGGTGACCAAGAAGTCTTTCAAAGGAAGAATAATTTGAGCCACAGTTTTATCATTATAATCCATTAATTCATAGTTTTTAACCAACTCAACTCAATATTCTAATTTTTTCTCTGAAATAAATTGCTGTGTATTTTGTTTCTTTAAAAAATATGATATGCAAAGTAACAGCCCCATACATTTTAATACAGTTTTCAATCCCCTTGTGGACAAACAGTCACACTTTAGTGCCACTTAAATAAAGAATAACAGAATAACCATTCATCTGTAAAATACAGATACAGAAGGCTCTGGATTTTCATTTTAAAGTGCTTAATTACCTGCATAAAGAGAGAAATAAAATAAGGAGTCCAGGCCAAGTTCATGAGGGTTTGAAATTACTTTTTTTTTTCTAAATGAGCAACAAAGACGCAATGTTGCAAGCTGTTGTGTGGCTATAAGCCAACTGTAGAATAAAATGTTCAAAAGAAAAAGGGGATCAGGAATTAAATTCAAATATATGAGGCAAGAACCAAAATCAAAAGGTGAAAAAAAAGGTGGTGTCTCCAGGAACAGAACAATATAACATATTTTTTAAAAAATATAATCAGCAATATAGTGAAACCTTCACATTAAGTATCCCAGTATGGCCAGTAATGCAACCCAAGGTTATTTTTGCGGATTCCCTGCCTCCAATCACTCACAAACTTATGTTGCCAATATCTGTATTCATGAAGGTACTCAGAATCACTAAAGGACCATACAAAACACAGTATTAATTAATGATCGAAAACACTTGAGAGTTAAAACTTTTTTTACATAAATCTAAATTGCCATTCTTAAGTAATTTGAGTTCAGCACTGTAACTTCCAAGTTGGGCAGAAAAGAAAGCATCAGAGAAGAAAAAGGCAACAGATTTAACCTTGAAACAAGGTGACTGCCAAATAGTTGTTGAAGGAATTTACTTATTATCAGATAAAGAATTTACAGTATTTATTCCCTCTAGAGATATAAAATGGTGAATCAATCTGCAGTTCAAGATATTTATTTAAACCCAGAGGAGGGGAATATGGCTTTAACTTCTGAAAGCTAAAATAGAAAATTATAAAAAATCAGCTCTAATGTAGTTTATCTTTAGACACCAGATTTAACATTAAACAATTCAAGCTAAATGCTATTTCTCAAGTTCTCCTTTTATATATTTTTATGATGTATATGAATATACTGCTATAAACTAAAATTTTCAAAAATGTTTATTTAGCAAGCAATGCTTAATGCTATATAGACATCTACTATAATTTATTTAAATATATCATCTACTGATCAATTCATCTATCCATCCATCCATGTATCCATTTATCCTTCACAATCCTTTCAGCCTAGTGATATTAGTTATCCTCTTATTGTCCTTGAAAATGTACACATGCCCTCAGAAAATCTATGCACACGCACACAAAATCTCAGACAAAAAAAAAAAAAAAAAAAAAAAACCTTCTGTTGACTATTTCCTTTACACATTTGGTTACATAAGAACGTTCTGTTTTGTTTCTGTTTAGGTCTCATCAAGCCTCTTAAGACTTACCTTGCATATCCTGTGGCTTTCAAATGGAATTCTTCTTTGAGAAATAGCATTTAAAAAAAATCTAATTGTTTCCTTGCCTACTGGTTGAAAACATCATGAAACAAAATTTATGCTACTAATAGAAAAACAGCATATACACAAATCCATCTTGATGGTGTGAAGAGACTAGTAAATCTAGAACTAACCACACAGTTAGTAAACAGACAGACAGCTAGACATGGAGATTAATAACTAGACAAAATGCTTAAGTAAATAAAGGATATGGTCATCTTTTCCACAAACTTATCGTGTTGACTTTCTGCTTGGGGGAATTTCTTGATGTCACGTTCCAGAAGAACAATTTGTTGTTCCATAGACGCAAGATTGCTCTTGAGAATTTGAGCTGAAACTAAAGAACAATGTGCAAAGGATTTAGAATATTTTACCAGGCGTTCCACAAAACATCTAAAAGGAGGCATTAGCAGTAAAAGTCTGTTTTTTTGTTAAACGTGGGAAATAGTTCCATGAAGTCGACTCACATTTTTCTGAATTACTGCTCATAAAAATTCTACTCTCCATGAAATAAATGAAAATGTGTAATATAATACACCAAATCATCATGTTTAATATGGGAATGTCACCATTTTACTCAGCCATTATTTCAAATGAATACATTTCTATTTAAATTTATTGATGGAATTCCTAATATTTCATTCTTTATAATCTAATTTGAAGATTAAAGAAAAACTAAGGTTCAAAGAGATGTTATTAATTCATGTTCTTAGCTCTATAAATGATTTAAGATTAAATTATATAAAAGGATCAAATATTTTTCTTTTTTTGAAATATCCTGATTTTTATAAACCATAGATTTTACCAATATCTATGGTAAAAGTTCCCATCTCTAGTCCTTTTCAGAGAAATGTGAAAAATAACTGTTGATACAAAAGATCACTTAGAGCAAACGCCAGCAAACACAAATGCACGTACATACCCACAAAGATTCAGCCTGCCCTCAAACACTATCATTAGTTGTTTTAATTACCCCTAACATTCTCTGCACCTTCCTTTTTCTGTCACTGACAACTAATAATTTTAAGTACTGGATTCAATCTGCTCCTAAATACATGCACACTTTTCAGACCTGTCAGGAGATCTTCTTTTCACCTGGTATTTTTTTTTTAACTTGCAACTATTTTATAGATACTCTATTGCTGCAAAATTGCCAATTATGTATGAAGACACTTCTATCAATATCAACAGCATTTGGCAGGATTCTAGTTACAAAGATGAATTAAGTGCTATCATTTGATAAATGGCCTGTAGCATTGGTTTTTAAATCCAGGCCTCTGAAATACTGTTATTTTCATTAAAGGACCATGAAACACAAATATAAAAATACTACAAGTCTTTCTTTTTTTTTTTTTTTTTAAGCAAAGTTAGTCTTATACAGAGACATATCAGCATTACAATGAAAAATTCAAGAGACTGGCAAAATCAACCCCCTGGCAAATTTCAGCCAAACTGTTCAGATACAAATTCATCATGTTGACGGGCACATCTGTATAACTGAATGAGGATAAATCACCTTAAATATACATGGAAGTTCAAGAGGCTAAAAATTAAACACCAACACTAAAGACTATTTTTTTTTCTATTAATCTGTCAGTTTAAATAGCTCTGTCCAATTTAGTTCCATTTGTTTAGATCTGACAAGCTTGGAAATTATTCTTTATTGCAGAAGAGAGTTTTGCCAAAAATTTGCTAATGGTTCACCAATCATTGCTTGCTGTATTTAAAGGATGAGTTTGCTATGGAAGAAGCAATTCTCTCTCTGATTTTAAAATTGAGTTTTTTCACTTACATTTCTCTGGTGTATTCTCCCTAATTATTTAAAAGGTTTCTCCTTCCCCACTTGGTTGATTGAAAAAGTGAAGATAGGTGGGGTGCTGCGGCTTCCATGCCTGTAATCTCAGCACTTTGGGAGGCTGAGGTGGGTCACCTGAGGTCAGGAGTTCAAAACCAGCCTGGCCAATATGGTGAAACCGCATCTCTACTTAAAAAAAAAAAAAAAAAAAAAAAAAAAAAAAAACTAGCGAGGTGTGGTAGCCAGCGCCTATAATCCCAGCTACTCTGGAGATTGAGGCAGGAGAATCCCTCAAACCCAGGAGGTGGAGGCTGCAGTGAGCCAAGATCCTGCCACTGCACTCTGGGCAACAAGAATGAAATTCTGTCTTAAAAAAAAAAGGTGAGGATAAAACATTGACAGTTACTCAGGTTATTTAGGTAACACGGGCATGATGAAGTTCAGCACACATTACCCAAAAATATGGTGCCTTGGCATATTGAGTACTTTAAGCTGAAGAACTTTTAGAAATGACACATGCAGAAAGGACTATCTGATCTTTCCAGGGCGCAGGTATTAAGATCCTCATGTAGGCTATGCATGGTGGCTCACACCTGTAATCCTAGCACTCGGAAAGGACAAGGTGGATAGATTGCTTAAACTCAGGAGCTCAAGACCAGCCTGGACAATATGGCAAAACTCCATCTCTACAAAAAATACAAAAATAGCCAGGCTAACTGACTCACGCCTGTAATTCCAGCAGTTTGAGAGGCTACGGCAGGAGGATCACCTGAGATCAAGAGTTCGAAACCAGCCAGACCAACATGGAGAAACCCTGTCTCTACTAAAAATACAAAAAAATAAGCTGGGTGTGGTGGCACATGTCTGTAATCCCAGTTACTCAGCGAGCTGAGGCAGGAGAATAGCTTGAATATGGGAGGCAGAAGTTGCAGTGAGCCAAGATCCCACCATTGTACTCCAGCCTGGGCAACAAGAGCGAAAGTCCGTTTCAAAAAAAAAAAAAAGCTAGGCTGGCTGTGGTGACTCACACCTGTAATCCCAGGTCTTTGGGAGGCTGAGGCAGGAGGATCACGTGAGCCCAGGAGTTCGAGACCAGTCTGATCAACATAGTTAGACCTTGTCTCTATACCCCCCTCCCCCCAAAAAAATAGGTAGGAGGATCGCTTGAGCCCAGAAACTTGAAGCTGCAATAAGTTATGATGGCATCACTGTATTCCTGCCTAGGTGACCGAGACCCTGCCTTAAATAAATAAATAAGCTGGGTGTGGTGGTTGCGCCTATTCCCAGCTACTGAAGAGGCTGAGGTAGGAGGATTGCTTGAGGTTGGGAGGTTGAGGGTGCAGTGAGTAATGATTGTGTCACTGTTTTCCAGCCTGGGCAACACAGATGGATCCTCTCTCTTTAAAATTGAAAAAAAACAAAACAAAACTTCATGTGAGTGCCTTTTTTTTTTTTTGAAATGGAGTCTAGTAGAGATGGGGTTTCATCATGTTCACTAAAATGGTCTCAATCTCCTGACCTTGAGATCCGCCCGCCTCAGTCTCCCAAAGTGTTGGGATTGCTGGGATTATAGGCGTGAGCCACAGTGCCCAGCCTGAGGCTCACTTTCCTATACATACCCTGAGGAAACTAATATCCCTATTTTTGAAGACAAAGGGACATAGAAATCTGAACAAATAGGTCTTGCTAAATTTCCCCCAGTTTATTATACTTAGCTCATACATTTTCTTCTCCCTATCATATTTTTCCACATCTCTCCATTCTTCATCAAACATACGATGGAAAACACTCAGGTTTAACTGTTTCTTTGGATCTTAATTTCCTTATGAAGTTTCCCTTCCCAAGTTATGTAAAACTTAAATAAATTTGTGTTCCTTTCTTTTGCTAATCTGCCTTTTGGTATAGAGACCCTGGCCAATGAACCTAAAATGGGGGGGAAAAGTTATCTTTTTTCCCTCACATTAGAAATAAACTCATGCTGACTTTCTGTATTACATAAAATGTGCTCAAAGGCTAGGTTTAGGTCACAATAGTAATGCCACTAGTAAAAAGGGGATGCTGATAATGACTTCATCTTCTAATCATTCAATACAAAACTAGCCTAATCAAATCGCTATGCACACAGCATTCTACATATCTCAAATAATAAGTGAGAATATTTTTTTAACCCAGTGAAATTGCTTTTACCCTAAAGTTGCATTCTGAATAAATCAATACGTTTCTGAACATCTGTCCTCCCCAATTTCACATGTATAATCTTCGGTCCTCTATACATCTCTCCACAGCTCTACTCCAAATTCTCTACCATTTCATATGCACTTTCTCTTTGTTCAAGTGATCTTCCACCTATCGCCTCCTGTTTTGAATAAGAATTGTTTTTTGTCTCATATACAGAAATAACAGTCTTCTTTATAAAACTCCAAGCTGCCTAATGGTAAGATCTATATTTAATTTTTTGCTTTTCCCTCAGTACTTATCACTGTGCTCAGTATTTATCACTCAATAAATATTTATTAGATGAATGCATACATTTCAAGAAGTTTTGGTTCACATTTAAATTTATGTCTACTTCCACAATTGAAAGTACAGGGAGAGCTTAGATATAATCAGAATGATTTTAAGTCACCATGCCAATTATTATATAAGTAGAGAAAGTGAGCAGGGAGTTGAAATCTGTCTAACAATATATAGAGGTGGTTCAGGAGATGCTTAGACAAATGGGAAAGTAAGGAACGGGGATAAAGAAAAAAAAAAAGTAAAGGGCATCTTTCTTTATTAGGCTCCTCCATTCTTCCCCTCTAGTGAATTATTTATATTATGCCTGAACAAAAGAGAATAAAATATTGGAGATGTAATAATCTGAGAATTCTAGCTTATAGAGAAATTTATGGCTCATTAAACAATGCCATTATGTAAAGTGTTTATCCTTCAATTGGCGGAATCATGTTATCTTTGGGTTAGAAGTAACATTAAAGGAGATTTGGACCAGCCTCTCAAATTTGAAAAACTCAGGTTACAGAGTATCACAGTCTAAGTCCCTGCAAAACATAGACTCAGTTAAGAGCTGACTTGTTAAGGTCTTGTTGGGTTGAGTGGGATATAGTCCCAGAGAAACAGGAAGGAGGGAGAGACAGCAGATACAAGAGGGTAAACCTTCTCTACTAAAAAAATACAAAAAAATTAGCCAGGTATGGTGGCAGGTCCCTGTGGTCCCAGCTACTTGGGAGGCTGAGGTGGGAGAATCGCTTGAACCTGAGAGGTGGAGGCTGCAGTGAGCTCAGATCATGCCATTACACTCCAGCCTGGGTGACAGAGCGAGACTCTGTCTCAAAAAAAAAAAAAAAAATCCAAAAACCATGCAATAGTCTATATTTCCTTGCCATTTAAAAGTTCATTACGTTGGCCTTCTAGACTTGCCTAAAAGGTAACAGACAAAAAAAAAGTATTAGGAAAGAATTAATATGTGTTTACCTGCCTCATTATTTGCCTTGAATACATTTGCTTCGATCTTAAGAGTTGGGACTTGGGCCGGGCGCGGTGGC